AAAGGGCCACCTAACCCCCATTCGATTAAGTTTCAGCACGAAAGCATATTGGCCTTGCCTCAGTTTCTAAAAAAATCCCTCTAGAAGGCAAGAGAGATAACATAATGATGCTTGTGTAGAGTATGACTGTGTATTTTGTTTACTTGTTTACAACCAAATGAAATAAATAATCGCAGTGAATACATATGTAACGCAAATATTTCCTGTTTTGAATCCTTCAGCAATTCCCGTCCCCTACGACTGAAGTTTGTTGAATATCCACAAATATGTGAGACAGAAATTCGCTCATTGTTTGCATTGCCAGCTACATCAAATCTCTGGTCTTCTCGGATTCATTGTTGACACACGATATGTACAATGTGTGTGTATAACATCACCTACACATTTGCTTTAGAGCACCCAAGCACAGAGTATTGCCTAGGGTGTGCAGTGAGGCTCTAGTCATCCCAAACAGCACGTGACGCACAGAGCAGTCAGAAGCTGAATGAGCGAATTGCATCGACCCTTTCCTGAAGGCTCATCTTGACTGCATGCAGCGAAAAGAGAAGTACTCTCCTTCTAGCAGCGGCGCGGACAAGGGCTCAAACAATCATGCACCAGGGCTTCCTGAGATGTGAGCTGGTATGAGTATAAAATCCCTAAACCCATAAACTCTAGTCTAGCTGAGCGCAAGGCTTGAACTCTAGAGGTGCGTTTGAGAAGCAGCTAAAACAAACAACGTTGAGTCGATTCAACTTTTGCATCAAAAATATTGGGTCAGGAGGTCAGAAACAGAGAAATACAAAGGAGACGAACTTGCAGTCAGCCTACATTGTGCTGAGATGGACGGCGAGATACGGGTTGCGGAAGTTACTAGGTTGTGGACACAGACACAGGGACTACAGATGTAACTACAGAAAGAATGTTCAAGAATCAACACCGTGCCGTTCACATCCAGCATATGCACTGCAGAGGCTGCAGCGTTTGAAACGACCAGTTCAGTGCCTCGATTTCAGAGAACAGGAGGCGAAAAGCGATGTACTATCATCAAGAGGCAACGAATTATTCCATGCAACAGGAAAGGTGATTGAGAAATTCACAGTTCATAATGAGAAGGAGATCATGAAAGGTACACGACAATAAGGAGCGACGCCACG